ACTGTTGAGATGTCACATTGTTACTTCCAATATATCAAACAAGGGAGAAATGTGAGAAATGTAAGACAAAGTTAATTTGACAGGAAGCCATGCCTTGTGCTCATTGTATCAGTGTGTGTCCAGGCACTGCACTGTGTTTCCTGGGCTCCAAAATGAAACTTCTTTTAGTAGGAATTATTTATAATGCCCAGCACCCCTTGCTGCTGTGTGTCTATTGTCAATCAGGAAATAATATGTTACAGAAATTTAGCTTTCTATTGTTGTCAAAAAAGAATATTGACCAAGATAAGATGGAATGTATAGGTTGCATAATATAAATTTGAGGGATCTCTAAAATTCAGTTCACATTTCAGTATCTGAAAAGTTATGGGTTCCAATGGAGCTATTATTTATAAAATCAGAGCATAAGGATTATGCCAATCATTTCACCATTTTACCTCTTTGAACAGCATCTCTAGTATAGGGAACGTCTTTCATTTTTAGAACTTGGTGTTATCCATGTGTAAATACTCATTAATTCAAGCACTCGATTCTTTTTTTAGTACTTGTTTGTTAGGCATTGGCAAGAGAGGAAGATGTTCAAAAGACGAAACCTGCTCCTGGGGAGCTTTGCAATTTACACAAATATCTAATTAACATATTAATTAGATTACTTGATATCTATTCTACCCATACACAGAAGGAACAAGGTATCCTAGAAAATATATAGAGATAGATATCTTGGGCATAAAGGTACTGGTTTTCCAACTAATTTTTCCTTCTTCCTATTCCCCCTCCTCCCACCTCGATGCCCTGACTCTAAATGTATCCCACAAGCATTGCAGGACCAGTATTTCGTAAGAGTGTAAAATTCCAAAAAGAAGTACTGATGTCAAAGTCAGCTGAAAGGATGCAAAGCTTGCTTCACAGGGTTCCAGATTCTATTAACACCTTGCACAGGATCCTATAGGAAGGTAAACGAAGAGAAAAGGAGTACATACAGTTGTTATTGAAAGAGCCTATGATTTCTTTATGTTCCACGTGACGTTTCCTTAGCTATATTCCCTAATATATGAGGCTGGAATACATGGAAATTATGTGTCTCTGTGTGTGTATAATTATGCTATTAATTCCACCAGCTGTAAGTATAAACCTCCTCCAGTCAGATGACACAATGAGCGAGGCAGATCTGTTTGTTACCATTTGTATTTAATTTAAAGTATGAGTTTTCTCCATGGAGGCATATTGTAATATTAATCACTTATACACCACAATTCCCCTTAAACAAGACCTTTTAGAGCTAGTTCTGGCAAAAGTATATTACCCTTAATTGGGGAACAAACAAGAACAATAAGTAAGAGAAAACTTACATTTCAAGTAGAAAAATACTTTTAAAATGCTATGAAGTATTAGAATAATTTCACGGATATGACATTTTATTCGATCATACGAAGATGATAATCCTAAAAATAGAAATTGCCTCTGCTTGGGTCAGGAGTTCCTCGTAACTTCCTGTGTGTGTAAGTTAGCAGCAGTTGTGAGAACTTTTTACTACCGTCACCAATGTAGCACAATTGTTTGAAGGACAATGAGGAAGTTAAGAAAAAGAGAAAAAGGATCCTTTGGCAGACTTCTAAATCTTTTTTTCTCTTTTAACACATGACTATATGTCCATTAATGGTAAGTACCTTTGTGTGGCAAGTCGATAATACAGACTTTCCAGAACAATTCTAATGTTACATCTGTAGTATTTGTCAGTCCATGTGTCAAACCATGTGTCCAAAATTTGGGTTCAAAAAATTTCTCAATTGCCACAAATGTTTTCCCAGTCAAGATGAAACACTTTCAAATGAAAGTAGTTAGAACTTTACATAAAAAATGTGGTGCTTTATTATTATTATTACTTATTATTATTATTATTATGTACTTCAGTGTTCATTATTAAAACTACTGCAATACTATATCATAAAAATCTGGGATGGATATTCTAGCGATCATAAGGTCCAAAAGAGAAAACGTTATTTTCCTGTTAGTGACATGTAGTCCCTTTGTTCTAGTAGAAAAAAAAGGTGCCTAGAGGTAGTATATAGAGTAAATATTGTTCCATTAGCCTACTTCCTGCAGCTTCCAATTTATCTAAGGAAATGTCTGTAACGATTTTGTTACAAGTCTTTGTTCTAGTCAATAGCAGGAGAAGTCCACATTACTGGGCTGATTTTGCTTACATCAACAAGAAAAATGTCACGTGATACTCAGGCCGAGCTTTCTCTTCCAACATACCACCTTCAAGGAATGTCAATAAACTCACTTTGGTATGGCATTGTGTGTGCTCCTTATTGCAAACAGAAGTCTAGGGTAATGTATAACAATTTGTATCATGCCCATGTTGTCACTGGATGTAAGCAATAAAACAGCACAGAAGGGGCGCCTGGTTGGCTCAGTCGTTTAGCGTCTGCCTTCGGCTCAGGTCATGATCCCAGGGTCCTGGGATCGAGCCCCACATCGGGCTTCCCCGCTCGGCAGAAAGCCTGCTTCTCCCTCTCCCACTCCCCCTGCTTGCGTTCCCTCTCTCGCTGTGTCTCTCTCTGTCAAATAAATAAATAAAGTCTTTAAAAAATAAATAAATAAAAATAAAACAGCACAGAAGTCTGCCGGCTGCTATGATAAACAATCCCTGGAAAAATTATTTATCAAAAGGTCAGAGTATGTGTTCACAAATCCATGAATCGAGGAACAGTTCCTTGTGTATGCCTATTAGGACTGCACGCAAGCCACGGGGGCTTCGTTTGTGAGTGTCCTGTATGTTGAGCCAGGCATACACAGGCTTACTAAATTCCTACATGTTGAGACGCTTCTACAAAGACTTCAGGCTGCAGCCTAACACCCGGTGTGACCCTAGGAAAAGGGTTAGCATGGGGCAAAAATGTTGTGTCCAATGACACGTATCAGAACTCCCAAAATCACAATGGTCTTGGGAGCCCGTAAAAGACAAATCGTGTGGCTGTCACTGGGCAGTCAGAAGCTGACTTATTCTTTGAGGGGGGAAAAAAACTTATGAGAAAGCGTGGGTAAGACTGAGACAGAAAAACCTGAGAAGTCTCAATATTGCATTTTTATGCACACTCTGGGTTTACATTAGATTCATTCTAACTAAAAATAATTTTTCTCTTAAGGCATAAAGAAAAAATTAGCCTAAACCATAATTTACAGACAGTAGATGATATTATTTTATATTTTAATCTGACCATTATTCTGAAGTCAAGATTAGATTTCAGATTTCCTGATTTCTACGGCCATGGTTTTCCAATACACTGTGCTGACAACTGTAAAAAAAAAAAAAAAAAAAAAAAGGCACATATACATTATAGTCCAGATGCAGTTTAGGTATGTTTAGAGGATGGTTCTCTAACAGAATAAATGAAGAG